TAAACTGGAAAGCAGGTGAAGTAGTGTTCATTACCAACAACAGCAGCAACCGAGGCATGGATCGCAGGGCACGTGAGTACTCGAGAAGGAGGTCTAGTGTTTACGGGGCAGTTCAGCATCGCCATAGCTAGAGGGTAGCATTCGTGAGGACAGCGTTTCAAGTGATCATCACGCGGAAGTGATGAAACGAGTTCTACTGTAGACACGCATAAGGTCAACAGTTTGGAGCTGATCCATAATTCTGCCACCATGCATCGTATGGCTTTGTACCTGCTGATCATCGATGGTTTTTGCCTGTTATCTGAACGAGGGAGGACGTGCAGAGAGGAATACAAAAATCACTTTTAGAGTTTCAGAGATCTGGAAGTTTGCACAATATTCACAATGGCACCTGTGAATTACACTTTATGTAAGATGCATTTTTTTCTGTACGGCATAAATATTAATTACCTGTTCAAACTTAAATATTTTATTTTGAATTTTCATACGCCATTTGAAATTCACACACTTCGAACGTGATTCGCAATCACTCTACTTCATTCTATACCTAAAGGTGTAAAGTTAGATAAAACGTTATCAAATCTCACGTTTCATTTGACGCCGGATGCAATCAACGAATCGGATCGAAGTGCTGAAGTTTTTGACGCGTTGCGCACTTACATATTGCCGTAATGTATTTACATAAGTCCAGGTGACGGCATCTGTTCAACCATATAAGCACCTCTACGCCGAGTTCAGCCAGTCCTTACAGTCTCCGATACTACCGAAGTGAATATGTACTCGGCAGTGTGGGTCTTCGCTCTTTTGGCGGCTATCGCCTTCAGTCCTGGAAGCCGTAAGACACGTTACAATAATTTACTAGACATATAATCACGTGATATTATTTTAGCAAGGTCGTGTGGTACCATGCCAGGTACATATTTAAGTCATGTTTCGTGCACATACCACTATGACAGTCAAATTTAGAATCCAGCAATTTGAAAACCGTATACAAGCCGAACCAGATCCCTGAAACGACTAACTTGCTTACCACGACAGCTGGTGGCACCCCGATTGGACAAATAGCTACGAGCAGCTCCAGTTCTAACTGTCCCTACCTGAAGCCGGTGGTGGATTTGTACAGCAGCTTCTTCAGGTCACACTATTATACGGTGGATGAAATGATCATCAATCTTCGCGAAGGCCAAGGATGGACGAATCAGGGCATCCTCGGATACGCAGTTCCAACAGCTGGTCTTTGCGGCGCGAATGATGTCATCTACAGCTTCTTCAGAAATAACCGAGGCTTCGTTCAGGTCACTAACGGTTCAAATCTGTACCAGTATGCACTCAGCGGGGCCTTTGTGTTCAGTGGCCGACCGTGGGCCATGTGGCAGTAACGAGCAAAAATTTGCTGGCCAGTCTGTGTGGTTTTTGTTGAGCCGTAAAGTACGAATTTATTTCAAATAAACTGTTCTTCGAAGATGCGTTTTAGTAGTATTTGTTGCAATTATCCTCTAAAATTAAACTCGTTTTTCCCATTAGTGTTTCGCCAACTGCAAGAAGGCCGTTAACCCACAAAGCTTGATGGTTCTCTTGTTTGCTGGCATGCTGACTTTCACCGCAATGTTTCCAGATCCAAGGGTTCAGTTGAACTCTGAGCTTCATTTTCCATTTGAACTCTGACAGGGAACACGATCTCTCCAACTGAATGGCTGGTTGCAATATGAACAAACCCACCGCTTTTATGACAAGAATCTAGTATATGGATAAAACACTATTATAATAACGACACAATGGATACCTGTTTAACTCACAACTCAGAATTTATCCGTCTTCAGGATTGTCTTCGAGTCTTAGGTACGAGTGCGCCATGAACGCAAGTTGAAGCTACTACAGCATTCTCAGTTTTCAGCTCCCCTCTCCACCGTTGACCAAGTTACTGACCACTGTTTGTCGTCGCAGAGTCTGGTAAATGAGCGAGACTCAGTTAGTTACTCCTGAGTTCACTGGTCGTATCTAACGCGAGTCGCGTGGTCAGTCAGTCAGTCTGCTTTGGCGATGCAGAAGGCAGAAACCGCCTCCCTCTGTTAATTAAGTTCTTTGTCGATAGTGCCCTCGGTGCACGGTCGAGGAACCTCGCACATTCTTCGCTCCGTCGCTCTTGCGATGGTGACAAGCAGTTTGTTGTCTTCAGTTTGATAGGAGAACAATAGCCAGCGCCGTAGATCATGATCAGTTAAACGGTTCAACCGAGCATGGGCAGCATACTGTCGAATTATGAAATTCTTAAATATGTTAAAGCTCAGCCATGCCGCTTTTTTCTGCAGCTACCCAACTGTGAACTGCGAAAATTGTTTACAACCGACGGCTAGGAAGGCATGAGGAATCGGCTGCCCATACGATGCGGCAAATGCCCGAGATTTTCGACGCTATTCTGCATGAACATCAACGATTTACGTTTTGCATCTCCCTCACCCACAGTCTGCAGTTGCAATAGGATCTATTTGACCATTTCGTCCAAAGCTCTATGAACAAACAAACCTATATAGAGACAGACGTATGGAATATGTAAATCAGAGCCATCGGTTCTTTGTTATCCTAAACAAGCATGAAAGTGTAAATTTTAAAGTCATACATTTTCTACTAAATAAATAATCACTCGTAGCTTACTTCCGGGCTCAGAAGTATGGAAGCTCGTCAAAATTGTTTATCTGTCCCTATCGTCCTTTCCATCATTGATTTAAAATCCTCGGAGTTGTTCGTTTTCCTCTCCAATGAGTAGTACCGTAAATGCTGCAATCCTTCTCACTTCGAATACAGGAAAGATCTAGCTTCATTTTGTCTCGTTCACGTTAGCATCAAGCAGAACTTGAACAAGGAAATCTTTCAGTCCGTAACTCTTTTCTATAGATTTTTAGTCGCATATCGCTGCGCCATCTGCTGAATAAAATGACACACTTTGCTGGCTTGCCGACTGCTTTTTTGACAGGGAATAATGTATGATCAGTATGATCAAAGGACCTCATGAGTCCAGTCCTCAAACGGACAATTTTTGTCTGGTGCAAGGACTTGTGGCATATATGCTTCGAAATCCTGAGGTGTCTGGTTCGATTCCTCTCAACGGTACGAATTCCTTTGAGCAAGAAATTTACTGCAAATTTTCATTTCAATCTTCATCTTCCATCGCCGCTTCTCATTTCGGGTCGCGGAGGCAGACGCGTCAGACAGTGCTTCCAACGTTCCCGATCCTGTGCCAG